CACAAACACTGTCCCCATACACACACTGTCCCCTTACACACACTGTCCCCATACACACACTGCCCCACATACACACACTACCCCACAAACACTGTCCCCATACACACACTGCCCCCCATACACACACTGTCCCCATACATACACTGCCCCCATACACACACTGCACGCCCACAAACACTGTCCCCATACACACACTGCCCCACAAACACTGTCCCCATACACACACTGCCCCACAAACACTGTCCCCCATACACACACTGCCCCAAAAACACATACAGTGCCCCCATACATACACTGCCCCCTAACACACACACTACAACCCTGACATACACTGCCGCACTCACACACTTCACCCTTAACACACACCACTGCTCCTATACCCTATATCCCAGCAGACCCAGGTAAGTTGTCAAACTGTTCTTACTTACTACTTCTTACTACTTACTCTGGGGTGGAATCCTGGCACTACTGACACCATAACTACTACACTGAGCTGTAGTGGTTATTGTGCCTGGATTATTTATTTAAATAATCTACAAGTGCCCCTCCCGAGATCAGGCTCTGGATATGCCACTGGTATCATACTGGATATGCAGTTACCACAGAATACCAAGTACTACAAGCAGCTGCGCTTCCATTAACCAAATCAGCACAGGAAGCTGAGCTAATAGCCCTCACAGTGGCCTGCAAATTATCTGAGGGCCTACGTGTTAATATCTATACAGATTCAAGATATGCTTTGGGTGTAGCACAAGATTTTGAACTCAGAAGAAGCACGAGGCAATCATTTGGCTGATCAAGCTGCCAAGGATGCAGCACGACAAGGGTGGGAAGTGGACAGAAGAGTGGCCATTGAAACAACACCTGTCTACACTATGCAAACACTGCCTACGGACCTCAAACTTTTGAAGGAACAACAAGCTGCTGCAACCCCCTAGGAAAAACAGAGTTGGAAGAGCAGGGGGGCCATTCTCCAGGATGATGTTTATACCATCAATCTTAAGTTCTGTTTACCCAAAAATATGTATCCAGCTGTTGTCCAATGGGCTCATGGACCAGCCCACCTGTCGAAACACTTGATGAACTCTCTGATTGTTAATACTTTGAAGCACCAGGCATTACTACCTTGACACAGAATTATTGTAAATCCTGTGCAATTTGTGCCAAATGTAACCCTGGTAAGATTGTTAAAACTGCACCCAACCATTTGGCCAAGCCACAATACCCTTTCCAGAGAATACAGATTGACCATATTCAGATGCCGAAGAGTGGACGCTATGAATATGCATTAGTCATTGTGGACATGTTCTCAGGATGGCCAGAAGCTTTCCCAGTGGCCAACCTTACTGCTAAGACAACAGCTAAACATCTTCTAACAGATATGGTGTTCCAGAAGTAATTGAAAGTGACCAAGGAACTTCCTTCACCGCCTCATTAACACGGGAAGTCTGGACAGCACTGGGGGTGACCCTTGCCTTCCACACGCCATATCACCCACAGAGTAGTGGTAAGGTAGAACGCATGAATGGCACATTAAAAGCCAGAATGTTCAAGATGTCCCAAGAAACTAACATGCCCTGGCCCGAGAGTCTCCCATTAGCACTATTCAGTGTGTGAGGTACACCCCTAGGGGGAAATGCAATTTATCTCCCTATGAGATTCTGTTCGGCACTACACCGAGATTAGGTTGTTATTTTCCTCAGCAGCTTCAGATACAGTCAGATGCTATGGTAGATTATGTAACTGCTCTCTCTCGTGCCTTGACCAAAATCCATGCCCAAGTGTTTTCTTCTATTCCAGATCCTGAGTCGAATACAGGTACACACAGGTTGCTTCCTGGTGATTGGGTTATGGTCAAGAAATTTCTCAGGAAACATACTCTTGAGCCAAGATTTGATGGTCCTTACCAAGTACTCCTAATTACAGCTACCTCTGTCAAGTTGGCTGGGAAGAGTTCCTGGATACACGCCTCACACTGCAAGAAAGTGCCTGCTCCAGAAGAAACCACCCCTGCTGAGCCATGAATTTGTTGTGTCTCTTGTGTTTCTTTATGCTGCTAGATTTTGCATGGGCCCAACAGGTGGCCATAACCAAAGATAACAATGTTTACACTTTTTGGTACAATTCTTCATGCACAAATGTAGCTACATTTACCTTCGATTATTGTGATATTGTTACTTGCACCTTCCCACAAACACAGTATGCAGCTATATACAAAGACATACCCAGTAAGAAGGATCCATATATTTGTGTGACGGGGGGGTCCTGGGGCCATCATTGTAGTTCATGGAAGGCAGCCGGGTGGAACACGGGCAGACCATGGGGATATAAACCACAGAGTGCCCTTGACAGACTTGACCAGGACAGGAAGCCCCTACTTTCTAGAATGACTTTAACTAAACCTATTGGGTCAACCCCCATCAAACTCACTCTAAACATAGAGCATCCTAGTTCTGGGGATGCAGGGGAGTATGTAATGGGCATGTATTGGAAGGGGGGTGGCTCATACAACAAGCTGGGGACATGTTACTTACAAGACATGTTTAACTCATCTGACTGGGTAGGCACCACGCACATGACCATCAATCCACTCAAACCTCACATTAAAACTTTGCATGACATGGTTGCTATTGCTAACCCCACCTTTGAGGACACCATGGCAGTAGAGACAGGGTTTTCAGACACTAATTTATGGCTGGAATGGATGAGGTACAATGCTAATTCACATAATAAGACTAACTGTTATGTATGTGGGGGAGCTAGGCCCCACCTTGGCACGGTGCATTTAAATCTACCTCCCGATGTTGAGTCATGTGTCCTGAGTCTTTATGCACAATCCACTACTAATTCCTCCATGTGTGAGTCATGGAAAAAGGTTTATCCTGTTATCCAAGGACATGTTAAACCACCTGACGGAGTCACCGTGTATCCAGGTAACTACACTTGTTATTCAATACCTAAGAACACTGGTTTGTAAATGGGCAAATTTCCATCAGGTTACTGCTCCACCTATCACAATCCACCTACAACATTACTGATGAATCATGTAAGGACAGTTGGGGACATATACTGGCTGTGTGGTGATAAGCAACTAAGATCCCAGCTAGTGGGGCTATGGTGGGGAGAATGTACACTAACGAAAGCCATAATGCCTATCCATATTATCCCCGATGGCTATCATGATGAGTCAGATTACACACATACAAGCCCCAGAATTAAAAGGGAGGCCCCAATCCGTGGTAGTTTTGACCCACATGTTTACATAGATGCCATAGGCGTGCCAAGGGGGGTGCCTAATGAATTTAAAGCAAGAGACGAAGTGACAGCTGGGTTCGAATCCTTAATTCCAATGATCACAGCTAACAAGAATGTCAATTGGATTAACTATATCTATTACAATCAACAGCGGTTTGTTAATTACACCAGGGATGCCCTACAGGGCCTGGCAGAACAGTTGCAAGCCACCACACAAATGACATTTCAAAATGGCCCTGGATATGATATTAGCAGAAAAGGGGGGCGTTTGCAAGATTCTCCCCGAAACCATGACATGTTGTACATTCATTCCAGACAATACCGGGCCCAATGGTAAGGTAACTATGGCCATAGAGAAATTGGACAGTCGGATGAACTAAAAAGGAACTCAGGGGTCATTGATACCTGGGACAGGTGGTTTGGATGGATGAATGGTTGGCAGAGAACTCTATTCGAGGTTGGGACAGCGGCTCTCATAGTGCTCATTATCTTCTTGTTCTTAATCTGTTGTGTGCTCCCTTGCATACAAAAGTACTTACAGAAAGCAGTAGGGAAGACTATAGATGACGCAACCCCTACCTTCCTACATCAGGACGTTACTGATCTAGACTAGGACACACCACACACACCCCTCCAACCCCACCAATTTAAACAGGCAACTGCACTCCTGTAGGGATAGCGTAGGGAAAGCGTCTGTCTCTACGGGCAAGTCTCACGTGTGGAGATGTGGTGGGCTAGCCACCGCGGGTTACCCACGGAGTGAAGAGTTCGATGCTCGTTAAGACAGATGAGCTGCAGGCAGCTAGGAATGTGCAAGGGACAGTTGCAGTTGTTATGGTAAATAGCCATTTTAAGGGGGGACTGTTGTGGAAATAAGATATGGACATATACACATATATCTTTGTAGTTACACACTGAAATCAGTAGATAAGCTATTCACGCATATTTAGACAAAATGGCTGCTAGACGTTTCTAACCCCTCCCTCCCTATAACCTCGACTAACTACCTCGTGTAACAAGATGGCGCTGAAATCTGGGGGAGACCCTCATGGTCTCAGTGACATCACCTTTAGTAGGCAGAGCATTAAGACAACTACTTAACACCTAACCAATTAATACCGTATTATTCCATGTTATTTCTGACAATGCTTATGATGTAATTTTGCTTTAAAAGGGACTTGCCGTCCCCTCTGAATAAACATTCCTCAAGTTATTCAACTACCTGAAACTTGTGTCTGGTGTGAATTACTTCAGGGATCGTGCACGCATTGTTTCCTTAATTTGGCCAGGGGCAGATACACAAGAATAATCAATCGATTGAGTTGATTTCCATTTCAATACGAGATCACACATTTAGACTGGAAGAAAGAAGATCTAGCCTAGTACAAAGGAAATGGTTTTTACAGTAAAAGCAATAAGGAGGTGGAATTCTCTCCCTTTAGAGGTGGTTTTATCAGAGTCTATACTAGGGATGTGCATGGGGAAAATATTCGGCTCGGTTCGGAACTTCGGCAACTTCGGCACTTTGGATGTTCTCTTGCAGCCGCTTAGTAGATAACTCCCTAATTCCCACGGTATTAGAGAGCTATCTACCAAAAGGCTGAAAGACCTAAATTGATCTTTCAGCCAAATTTACTAATACTAAGTAAAAATTACTTAGTATTAGTCAATTCTGCCCCTATTCGCTATAGCGTGAGTAGTGGCATGTCTATTAAACAGTGAGCAGCCTGTAAAAAAACACAGTGTCCCCCCTCCCAAGCCCCCACCCGTGCCATATGAGTGGGAGCTTCTAACCTGAAGGGGGAACCTATTACCCCCCCTGGCTCCCACCCCTGCCCAAAATCAGAAAGGGGGGACCTATTGTCCTCCCCCCTGGCTCCCACCCCTGAGCGGTGGGTAGGGGACCTAAATTACTTAAAGGGGGAGACCTGTTGTCCTTCCCCCCGGCTCCCACCCCTGAGCGGCGGGTGGGGGCCCTAAATAAGAATAAGGGGGGGACCTATTGTCCTACCCCCCCTCCCGGCCCCCATCCCTGAGCCGCGGGTGGGGGCCCTAAATTAGAATAACAGGGGGACCTATTGTCCTCCCCCCGGCTCCCACCCCTGAGTGGCGGTTTGGGGCCCTAAAAACCAAAAAGGGGGGGACCTATTGTGCTCCCCCATGGCCCCCACCCCTGAGCAGTAGGTGGGGGTCCTAGTTACCAATAAGGGGGGGACCCCCCAGGCCCCCACTCCTGAGCGGCAGGTGGGCCCCTAAACTCCAAGTCACCCCCCTCCCAAAAAAATTAATGAACCCCTACCTACCCCCCTCACCCTAAAAACAATGGGGGGGGGACCAATAACTAGGTACCTGTAAAAAAAAAAAAACTTACCATTTGATGTCTTTTTTCGAAAATCTTTTTTCAGCCCCCAAAAAAGGCCAGATAAAAGTCCATAATAACTGTTGCACTTTGAAAAAAAAAAAATCTGATCTTCACACATGGAGGGCACTGCGCAGACTGAGCTCTGCAGGGCGGGGGAAAGCTTATAAAGCCTTGCCCTGCCCTGCAATTTGTCTCAGAGCACTCTGGTTGGTTGGTTGGTTTAAGCCATCCAATCAGAGTGCTCTGACAGGTAAATGAAGGGACTGACAGGTAAGTCTCTACATTTACCTGTCACAGCACTCTGATTGGTTAGCTTGAAATCCAGCCAATCAGTGTGCTCTGTGTCATTTTACACAGCGTGACAAAGTTCTTTGGAATTTTCCCACGCTGTGTAATTTGACTCATAACAACACTCTGATTGGTTGATTGCAAGTAAGTTTTTTTATCCAAATTAAATGAAGCTTGGTCACTTCTACATCACAACCGCATCTGAAGACTCAAAATGCACATGAACATCCTCTCAGTTGCTCTATTGCTCTATTAGTCTATTTCTATTCTCTTATCCCATTTCCTTATACACAGTGTCCTCCTCACCTTCTCCCAATTCCTTGAGTTTCTTTCTCAGTACTTTTCATTGCCCTTACTGACCCACAGCATTGTCACCCATTCACAACCCAAAAGGAGGGAGAGAGAGAGAGAATCATTTAAAAAAAAATAGCAGAGGGCTGCAGTTAAATAGGGAGGGATGGAAGGTGGGACACACAAGCTTCCATTATGTCTGTTGCTAGCGTGCAAATACAGAGTTCTGAGCTGCCAATGTCATGTGTGCCAGGGGTGTAACTAGTCCTGACACACAAATGTAAATATCTCTGGATGTACAGCATTTCAAGCTGAAACAATGCACATAAAGACTTCTACCTCCATGACCGCTTGTAAAAGCAGACGTTTTCATGGTGGATGTAATAACCATTTAACTATGTCATGTGCAATGTAATGTGAGATTCCACAGTAATACATTTTTCAAATATTTTCTCTTATCTGTATGATGTCATGGGTGATGTCATTAGTGGTGCCATTGATGTCATTAATGATATTATTAGTGCTGTCATGTGTGATGTAATCAGAAATGTCATTGATGTGACCTTGTGAGATCATGAAGATGATCTTCATTATTCTCTGCCTGGTCTGACAAGTATTTGCAAGCAGCCTGCAAAGTGGAGGTGGTGGAAATGTGATGCTTGTCAACCCTACCTTCTTCACTCTCTGCATTTTGCAAGCTGCTCCATGTACGACTGAGCAGAGGATAAAGAAGATCCTCTTCTGCAGTCCCATAAAGTCACTCTACCAGGGGGTTGTTTACTAAAATCTGAATGCCCCTGTAACGAAAGAGGAAAAGCCATCCTGCAAAATCTGTACATTGATCACAAAATCTACCAATGACCAGATTTTACAAGTATGGCTCTGAATTTTGCTGGATGGCTGAAATAAGGGCCTGGATGCTTAAGAGCTGGAAACCAATTGTTTAAATCCAGGCCCAAATTTTAAACATACAAAATAACATGTGGTTAAATAAGTCTTTTGGTATTGCAAATGTTAATTATATAGCAGCTGGCCAGTAGTTGCTAGTCACATGTAAGAACAATAATAATTAACATTTATCAGTTCCATGTGTACACATATGACTCATATATAAACACATATATTTATGTAAAATATAGTATTTAAAGAAATAAAAAGGGATCTACATACAGCGTCACGATTTGGGAGATAAAATTAACTAACAGGAGGAAATGACAGAAAGGACTCAAATGTGAAATTATGACTTGTACGTATGCTGTGATGCTGTGTGCTATTGGGTGGATGAGTTGAACAATACATATTATAAAGAACATTTCCTATATTATAGCAATAGGTTTGTGCATTTATTGTGATGTCATTATTTAACTCCTTGGAAATAGAACCTTTAGAATTCTCAAGCTGCACTACCTGTGTTGTTATTTCAGCAAACTGTCATTCAGAGAGCGCTCAGAGGAAAATGACAATGAAAAATATCTTAGATTTTTTAAAGAAGTTATTTCTTACAGCTAATCAATTCATAATCTCACTATTTGTCATACTGAAACCACCTGAAGCGAAACTTCCACCACGCCACGTCCCACGGACTAACCGGGATGCCATGTATGGTATGAGACCTATGATGAAATATTATAAAACGAGTATATATCAGGAAAAGGAAATAGCTTATTTAAAAAAAAAAAAAAATTCTTTACTTTGAAGATTTATGATGTAGGGGGGATACAGAAAAAAGAATCAGGGGATACATAGATGCAGTACATACAACTTTTGGTAATTGTGAGAAAGGAGT